GGGGATTATTAAAGCTCCCAGATAATTCGATGCATATCCAGTGGAGGACAGGTGACTAGAGGACTGACCAGAGCAACTGGCATTTGTGGGAACTGATCTGCCATGTGCCAGGCCCTGTTCTGGGCATGTCACAGAAGTTGAAGTGAATCATTTCTCAAAACAACCCTCAAGTTTGGGATGAACAGATACATACCACTATATATAAAATAGATAAACAACAAGGACCTACTGTATAGCAGAGGGAACTATATTCAATTTCTCGTAATAACATATAATGGAAAAGAATTTGAAATACATATGTTAAAAAAAACCCTCAGAAGTAGTTATTGTTCCCATTTTAGAGATAAGGAGATTGAGGCTTAGAAAAGTCACTGTGATGCTCAAAGACACAGGGTCAGTAGGGGCAGGTGCGTCAGGAGTGTTGCAGAGCTCCTGATCCTGACCCTGATCTCCTCCCATGAAACTTCATTGCTTCCACAGATGACTGTCTCTTTGGGCCTCCAGCCCTGGGGTGAGGCAAACTGAGAGAATTCCACTTTATTAACTTCTTGAAAGTTTTCTATCAGAAAGTCTAAAAAAGCAAAAAAAACTATCATTTACCATCCATTCCAAAAATGCATGCTTTTTTGGTTTTTTGTTTTGTTTTGTTTTTTATTGAGTTATACTCAGTTTACAATATTGTGTCAATTTCTGGTGTACAGCACAATTTTTCACTCATACATGAATATACATATATTCATTTTCATATTCTTTTCACCATGAGCTACTACAAGATCTTGAATATATTTCCCTGTGTTCTACAGTATAAACTTGTTTATCTATTCTATATATACCTGTCAGTATCTACAAATCTCAAACTCCCAGTCTGTCCCTTCCCACCCGCCTCCCCCCGGCAACCACAAGTTTGTATTCTATGTCTGTGAGTCTGTTTCTGTTTTATATTTAAGTTCATCTTTTTTTTTTTAGATTCCACATATGAGTGATATCATATGGTATTTTTCTTTCTCTTTCTGGCTTACTTCACTCAGAATGACATTCTCCAGGGACATTCACGTTGCTGCAAATGGCATTATGTTGTCATTCTTATGGCTGAATAGTATTCCATTGCATAAATATACCCCATCTTCTGTATCCAATCATCTGTCGATGGACATTTAGGTTGTTTCCATGTCTTGGCTATTGTAAATAGTGCTGCTATGAACATTGGGGTGCAGGTGATTTTTTGAATTGGAGTTCCTTCTGGATATATGTCCAGGAGTGGGATTACTGGTTCATATGGTAAGTCTATTTTTAGTCTTTTGAGGAATCTCCATACTGTTTTCCACAATGGCTGCACCAAACCGCATTCCCACCAACAGTGCAGGAGGGTTCCCTTTTCTCCACATCCTCTCCAGCATTTGTCATTTATGGACTTTTGAATGATGGCCATTCTGACTGGTGTGAAGTAACACCTCATTGTAGTTTTGATTTGCATTTCTCTGATAATTAGTTCTACTGAGCACAAAAATGCATGTTTTTTGCACACATCTTCCAATTGATGGCAAGAGTGACAGGATTTCTGTTGCCTATGCTGGTTGCATCAAAACACATGGGCTAGGTGTGGGCAGCTTAAAGGAAAATCCTGGAGATGAGAGAGTTCTTTCAAGAAATGCTGATCACCAATGCACTTGATGGCACAAAGAATGATATCATGTGGGAAAACACGGACACAGACAACTCTGAGTTAGATGCCACATATGAAGGAGTTTAGGAATGTCTTAACCAATTTATCTTACTAACATTTTCCTTTTGTTTGTTTGTTTGCAAGTGTGACAGATGGCAAAAAGAAATCTTTATCCAAATGAAACTGCACGAGTGCTTTAAGTACAAAATCAAGCTTACAAATGAGAAGGAAGCTTTGTGACATACTTTAATTCTTAGTGGTTATAGTACAAACTGTGTGGCTTAACACGGCTCTCACGTTTCTGGCCAGAAGTCTACGAGCAAGGTGTTGGTGGGGCTGTGCTCCCTCTGAGGTCTCTAGCAGTGGCTCTTTCCTTGCCTTACCTGGCTTCTGATAGCCCCAGGGATGCCTTGGCTTGGCTTGTAGTAGCATAACTCCAACTTCTGCCTCCCCTCTCTTCAGGTGGCTTCACTCCATGTGTGTGTGTGTGTGTGTGTGTGTGTGTGTGTGTCTTCCTGGAGAGTTCTCCTACTGCATCTCTCTGTCCTCTTCTTTTGAGGACACCAGCCATATTGGATAACGGTCCATTCCAGGATGCCCTCACCTAAACTCATCACACCTGCAACCACCCTGTTCCCAAATAGGGTCACATTCGGAGGTACTGGAGGTTAGGACTTCAACAGACCTTTTAGGGGAACACAAGTCAACGCATAAAGGTGATAAATAAAATAGTTTTTAGTAGTACAGAAAATAACGTGATGTAATCAGTGGCATCATAGATTCATAAACCAGTATTCTCAGCAACATGTCAGCTTTGTGTTCTATGGATTTTTCCTCGTGCTCACTTCCAGCCATGTTCTGCACACCCTTTGGAGGCAGGATTCCTAGATTGCCCCCCACTTTCTCCTGGCCTCTCCCTCGCCCAGAGCAATTGGTGCTAATTAGCAGCTATTTAATTATCAGCCCAGCAGGGAAGTGATTCCAGCCTTGATCCTTAGAGAGGTATATGCACAGTGAAGCTGTCCCAGATACTGGAAGGCTGACTGTGTTCCATGCTCTAGGGAAAGGCTATGTGTTTCAGTGGAAAGTTCATGGCATTTAGAATTGATCAACCTGGGTGACTTTGCCATGTTTTTTGTTGTTGGACAATGGTCTCTGAAGCTTTGTTTTCTCAACCGTACCTACCCACAGTTCTGTTGAGAAGATTAATGTAGTGAAAGGACCTTGTTAACATAACCTGTAAAATTGTATACAAATATGCAACGATAGTGTCTGCTTCATCTTAGTATCCTCTACAACCAGCACACTATAGATGCACAAAGACGTTTGTTGAGTGAAAAATTCTTAATTGAGGAGAGACACTAGAAGAGGGAAGGACGTGGGTGGAGCTGTTAAGGTAAAATTTGTGCTGTGCACATGTGTCAAATTAAGGTCTAAAACTTGAAACTGAATTGTAGAATATCCATCTGTTCATTTTTAATAAAATAAGACCCCGTAACAAACACACCTGTTTTCTTATATTTTTTATTTGTATAAATGTTTACATCAATGGACCAACTTGGGGTTGCATTCTAAAACTAAACACGGAAGAAAACATTATATTTCTTTGAGAAGACGAGAAGCTATGGTTAAGTTGTATGCATGTCATTGGTACCACATCTAAGTGGTAATGAAAGGAATCGTCTGTGAAGAGTTACAGCCTAGAAGAGGAAGAAGAGAGAATAAAAGTGGCCTTTTAGTTATACTGTGAGGGAGGATTATAGATGCCAGAAGATTCTTACTCTGACATCAAGGGCTTAATCGCATATAGAATTGCAACACTGAAATCTTCCCCAGAGGTCTTTAAAAGTAGTTTGTAACCTCATCTCTCTGCTCATAGGAACTTCATTTATAATAGAAAGCAATCCAGATGACCAGTGAGAGAGAGCTCACTGGGTAAATTATGGCATATTACTCTATGGAATATTTAGGTAGCCATTAAGAATTAAAATAAGAGCTATGTAGCAACATATTAAAATTTCCATAGCTGGACACTTAAGGAAAAAAGAATGTACAATTTACCTATAATATGATAAACATATGTAAAAATTAGATTTAAATGCAAATTAGGATTGGACAAGAACCCCAAAAAACTGAAAGCAATTGACAATAGTATATGGTATAATTATGGGGAGAAAAAACACTGTTCTTTGGATTTTTGTGTGTAACAAGTAACAATATATGTTTTAAAGCTGTTCAGCTCTCATGGAATTGTAACTGCGATCTTCAGGCGTGATTCAGAAAGCCCTCTGCAGTCATAGGATTCCTGGTTTTTAGTCCCACAAAACGCAAAACCTCAGAACCCCCAGTCACGCCTGGGGCTTCTGAGTTTGCATGGAGGGACGCCATCCAGGCAGCACAGCATTCCAGAGCATCACTGGTTTCCATTAAAACCTAATCTGTGGAATTAAAAATTAATTTTATGGAAACGAATTTAAACAGTCTTTTCATTAGAATGCACTTGTTCTAATTGAGTTTGGAGCAGCATTGTCGTAGCCATGCCTCCACGTTAGTGGAAAAGACAGAGTCTGAGGTGACTCTTCTTGTCCTTGCACTGCCAGGAAACTGTGCAGAAGAGGTTTCCAACGAGTGCACTGTCACGGGGCCTGTTTGGGGCAGAGCCCAGCTGTTGCCAGGAGCCTCCTTGAACTAATTCAGCTCCTAAGTTTCATTTCCATCCAAGGACTTGGGGTTGTGCCTGACTGTCCAAAATGTAGTGTCATCATTGCAAGGATAGCATCAGTTTATCTCTGAAGGTCCCTTACTTACCTCCTAGAGCTTTGCTGTGGACTTTCTGGCTTGCCAGGCAGGTTTTCTTTGTTTTTTGTTTGTTTTTTGGTGTGTGTGTGCGCGCGCGTATTTGGGTTTTTTGGCTGATTCCCAAATGTGATAGCACAAGACTCTCAATGTGGATGTGCATTCTGGGATGCACTCTAGGAAAACAGTCTATGTCATTTCCACCCTCTTCCTGAGTCCACATCACTCTCCCTTCCTTAACAGAAGTGTTTCATTGTTTTATTTCACTTAATGCCCCCTACTATCTTGTCTCCCTTGAGAACACTTTTCTCCATTTATTTTCAAGAGACTTGCCTTGAGTTTCAAGGTCTCTTTGTTCAGTGAAAGCAGAAGTAAATGATCCTGGAACATAATCATAAACTAAGAATGTGCATAGATAAACTTGGCTTCCGCTGAGAAAAATACACCTTATATACAAATGGAATTTGAATTCATGGAAATGAATTCCAGAAGATGGGAGTTCAATTGATATTCAGGTAATATGCCAGCATTGTCTTTCCAGGTGAAGATGGCCTTGCAACAGGAAGGATTCTACCGGAAAAAGCGAGGATATAGGGACATCAATGAGATCGACATCAACATGAATGACCCTCTGTTTACGAAGCAATGGTATCTGGTAAGCATCTTGGTATTATTCCTGATGTTTCTCATCTTGGGACTTCAGATAAAAGACAACATTTCTATTTTCTCATTATTCTGTGGGATGTTAGCCAGCCCCCAACTCAGGGAACCTCTCTGTCCCCTCCGATAGGTATTGATTTTCCATCACCCTCCATGCATCTTGTTCTCTAATCTGCTTATTTTCTGGAACTGCTAAACAGCCATGACCTCCCAGGGCCAAAGCAACTACCAAGAGCTGGTCAGATTCTTCCAGACCAGTGTGTGAGTGAAGACTTGCAAAAATATGTAAGTCAAGTTAAAGTTCTGGGAGGAATAGCCTAGGGTTCTCAACAGGCAGAATAATGGGAAGACACGGTGAAACCACAGGCAAAAAAGAAAGAATCAGGTGACTTCACAATGGGCAAGCAAGAGAGCTCAGAGACTAAAGTAACGAAAGTAATATCCCTTGAGTGCTTCCTAATAATGGCAGGGAATCAATTCCATGGCACTTAACTGATGCAGGATTCAAGGCATGGAGACCCAGTCTATCTGGTGAAGTGAATATTTACTGACTCACCAATAGTCCTTCATGTTCCATTTGGGTGTTGGATTCTGTTTTAAAGACATTCAATGCCTCCAAACCAGCTCAAACTGCAGGGCATATGGAGGGAGAAGGAGTGACTAATTATAAATGGGAGTGAAGCTTTACTTTATTTAAGATTAAAAGGTGATGAGCAAGATAGAGAATTAAATTACAGCCCCATGGGCTGCTGCATTGTAAGAATGCATCACGGCTGCCTTCTTGGGGCTTCAGAGCTTGACTACACTTTATGCTTTGGGGCATGGAATTCTCCAGATCCAATCTGGGTAACTGAATGAGCATACATACATGTGTGAGTCAGGATCAGCTAGGTTTCTTGCAATAACAAACACTCCCCAAATCACAGTGGATTAACAAAATCAAAGCTTGTTTCTCACTCATATCATACATCCCACACTACATAAGCCACCAGAGACCCAAGCTCCTTCTCAGCTCCATTCCAGGCCCTGCTTTCATGAGCACCTCCATGAGGGGAAAATGCAAATCACACATGTGAGCTCACGTTCCATTGGCCAAAACAAGTCACATGGTTCTAACTTTCAAGGAGGTGGAGAGGTGTGATCTTCACGTGTGCCTAGAAGAAGAGCAGTCATTTTTATAAAGAGCACTAATGACATTCACACACGGTTCTAGCAGCACCATAATAGACGACTCACCTCTATGGGCATCTATCCAGTACAAGCTCCCACATCTTTTTTTTTTTATGATTTATCTTTGAGAAAGTCTGCACAGGTCAAAAATGAGAAGGTTGTAAACATATTTGCGTGGAATTTTTCTTTGTTTTCCTTTCTTTTTTGATTTTCTTGGGGGGAAGTTTTTTTTTTAATTTCTTGCATTAGAACATGCACTAACGGTGAGCCAGCCATCTTTAAATCAGTTTAACAAATATTTTTAAGCAAGATTTGGTGTGGTGGTACTGAAATGAAAGGTAAATAGGACATGCTTCATCTTGCAAAGGATCTTGTTATTTAGTGAAGAAATTACATTCAAATAAAAATAAGCTAAGACAATATGCACTAAATTCTAAAAGTGAGGTATAAATAAAGAGCTACAAGAGTGAGTATTTAATTCTAAACTGGGGAGTTTAAAGCTAGTGATCTAGCATCATAAGAGATGGGGAGGTTGAAACTGTGCATATTTCTGTAAAACAGAAAACATCAATGTGTCTATCAAGAAATGGAGAGGCAGATGCCAAAAGCACTGTCTCATGGAAGATGTAGTCTTTGAGCTGGCCCTCGAATGCTGGGTGGCTGCAGAGTATGTCAAGCAAACATTTACACAGTTGCTTTACTGCATACACCAAACTAATAAGATTCTCTGCTTTGGAATTCCTGAATCAGATCAATACTGGGCAAGCTGATGGTACTCCTGGCCTTGACTTGAATGTGGCAGAAGCCTGGGAGCTGGGCTACACAGGGAAAGGTGTCACCATTGGAATTATGGACGATGGTGAGTATCTCAAGGCCCTTACATCATCTGGAACATTGAGTCCTTGTGTACCTTTGGAACATAAAAGATTCATTGTTTTGGAGATGCTAATCAGAGGCAGAATGGCCAGATGCTGGTGTGGCTACCATCTGTACTGTAGCAGCATCCTTACATTCCTCCAGATCAGTGGTCCTCAAGTTTTAGGATGCCCTTCACAAATATTTACTGAATTGATTAGTTAAAAAAATTTTTAAATGAACAAATGAAAGTTGACCATCACTGAAATGTAATTTCTCGTTGGGCCACTGCTTATACATAACCCTAAGACACCTTCTAAACTGGTTTATATTTACCCTCTATTTCTCTAGATCCACACTGTCCAATGTAGTGGCCACTAGCCATACATGGCTATTGACATTTAAGCTTTAATTAGTGAAAGCTAATTACAATTAACTAGTCAATTTCTCAATCACATGGGCTTCATTTCAAGGTCTCACTAACCACACGGGGCTGGCAGCAATTTAATTCAACTCCATTTCTGACATCACAGAAAGTTCCATTAGACAGTGTGGCACTAGATCCATGAAATAGCTTTTCAGTAACAGGATTGGGGTTGGGAGAATTTTGATTTTACTGCTTCTTTCAGAATGAGTAGTTGTAAAGCAGGACTGATAACATTTATCATACATGCCCCTATAATGTTATTCTATCCCACATGCCTTCCCGACAAAGATTTAGCAGAGATTTATTTTTTAGTTTGTGATATGAAAACCAATGTGATCGAGGAACTGCTGTTTTTCTAACTACACGTGCCTTTGGCTCTGCCAAGATCCTGGAGAATCTGCCCTGCAGTCACCTCGCTGGGGATGTAGTCTCATCCGACGTTAGTGTCTGGGTCCTCTGCAAAGTCTCCACTGTGCAGTATTGGTCCAATTACATAGAAAGTCTATACAGAGATGAAACAATGAAGCCTTTCCCTCCTCAAGATCCTCAAAGAACACTATGTTCCCTAAAGCAAGCCTTTGAATCAGAATTGATGACAAAACAAGGAAAGGCAGCGTGCTTAGGCAGCGCGTGGGATGTTTTGAAGTGGATGTAAAAGCTGTCTCCAGTGGTCAAGGGCTTTCACAAGAAGGAAGGAGTCCTCACACATTAGGTTGTGTGTGTGCCAATGTCGGGAGCATTCCCGTTTCTTCCTTCCTGACACTTTGGCTTAAAAGCCACAGAGGTTGAGGCCAGCTCACCCGGGAGAAAGATGCATAGAGCTTTGGGGGAACTGTGCCTAAGATCTGTTCTAATCACTGTTTCATCGCACAGCATCTGGGGAATCAGAGAAGCAGGCTAAAATTGGCACGCCAAAGTGCCACAGATAGGCACGTTACTCCTATAAAACCTCCCACAGCCCCCTGGGATGCCCATTTCAGGATTCTTTAATCACAGCCCCCCTTGACTGACTCCTCATCATCCCTTCCAAAGAGAGCCAAGAAAGGGGAGTCGGGGAGGGTATTGCTCAGTGGTACAGCACATGCCTAGCATGCATGAGGTCCTGGGTTCAATCCCCAGTATTTCCATTAAAAAATGAATAAATAAATAAACATGGTTATCTCCTTCCCAAAAAGACAACAGAGAGCCAAGGAGAAGACGACATCTGACTCTGTTCCACATTTCTTGGCCTGAGAAGCCAAGCCCTTTACAAAGGCTCAGGAGAATTTCCCACTTGGTGTTATTTCTTCTGCTGATCTGTGGCCTTTGGGATCCAGAACAAGTGAACTCTCTGCCCCTCAGTTAAAACTCCTATCTTCTCCATTGTTTTGGTCATTAACTGCAGAACAAACCACCCCAAAATTGAGCAGCTTAAAACAACCACCATGGTGCTCTCTCTCACAATTCTGTGGGTTGACAGGCTCAGCTGGACAGTTCTGCTGGTGGTCTCTCTGGAGTCTCTCATGCAGTTGGGGTCAGAAGGCAGCTGGTCTGGTGTTATCTGGAGTCTCGATTGTGTGCTGGAGTGGCTCAACCTCCCTCTCACTCCAGGAATCCCAGGGCTCCTCCTCTCCACATGGTCTCCCCAGCAAAGCGGCTGGATTTCTTACAGGGGCTCCCAAGGATGCTCGTAGGTATCCTAAGAGACAAGAAGCAGAGGCTGCCAGTCCTCTTAAAGGCTGGACTCGGAATGGGCAAGCATTGCTTTGCCACTTCTACTGGGTAAACAGTCTCAGAGCCAGACTCCAGGAGAGGAGAAGTAGGTCCTGCATCCTGGTGCGGAGAGAAACGAAGGATCTGTGGCTATCTTGAAATCAACACATACTTATTCAGTATGATAACTGAAGGAAAGAAGGGCAGCTAAGCTGTCCTCCAAGCTCACTGCTGAACGGCACAGCTGGGCGAAGAGCAGCCTCCCACACAAGGGCCGGCCCAGACGCAGCCTTTCCCCGTGTGACAGGGCATCTCTGATGTTCCTCTACTGTCCTGTTGGCAGACGCAGCCCCAGCCCACTCTTGTGAAAGCGGAGAGAACAGATGGACCGCCAATGGGAGACTCACATTGTCACATTGTCACATTGTAGACGACCATATGGAATGGGAAATACTGATCCACCATCTTTCAAAAATACAATCCATCCGTTGAGGCTACTCCCCATTGACCTATGTCAGTAGAGGGAGGTGCAAGGGCGAGCTCTCTTGGGACAATGGAAGGAACTGGGCTTAGGACCAGGGTCCAGAGATGTTACACATCTCAGACTCAACACTGTGACTAGGAGTACGGACATGGAGCCCCTTGCTAATTCTTTGAGGTCTCCAGAACTGCCAGAGATCCCTGAGAATTTGAACTATTGTAGATTAGACTTTCAAACCAATGACAGGACACTAATGGTTTGCAACAAAACTATAACCAAGAATTTGTCATTGGGGCACCACGTTGCACTATGATGGGCTGGTAATGAGTCAGTGCCCCCTGTAGATGGTGAGCCTTAGTTGGTGGTACAGCTCATGCTCTGTGTCTAAACTGCCTGTTTTTCCAGGACCTACACAGCACCTGGCATTCGTTGCTGAAAATAAACCAACAAATGAAAATAAGAATGAGTACATTAGCGATACAAGAATTAAAAAATAAATAAGCTGATTAAGAAGACATTCAGTACATTCTGCCTCGAAACATAATCAAATATACAAAAATATTGAAACACTATTTAATTACCAGTTTATTATATTCATGCTTTAGTTCATTATTATTTTTTATTTTTTCTGAATCATATCTGTCATCTTAGTCTACCTAGAAATAATCTTTCCTTCCTGAGACCAAAGTCTGTGTCTATTCTAACTTAACAGTCTTCCCCTTAATCTAATTAAAGATCCTTTATTTTAATTAGGCTAAATTTATCTTGTTTTAATTCTAATTTCCTTCTGGTCTCCAATTATCTCTTTGCTTCAATATTTTTCCCTTCACAGAGAAGAGCCTTTTCTATCTCTTAGAAAATTCCTCTCCTAAATCACTTGCACTATCAGAACATGAAGCCATGTTTCAAAAATTGACTCCCTGTTAGAAAAAAATGTATTCCGTGTGTGCACATGTCTTTTCTTTTAAACTTACCTATATGTTACAAAATGTTTTGCCTAACAATGAGTTCACAAAATTTAACCAACTTCAACAAATATATACAAGTCAATTTCAACACAACATTCTAAAACCAAGTCGATTTTTCAAATGCTTCTGCTCTTCTGAGCTACCCACGTAAGTCCAGTGATGTGGTGGATGATGGTACTAATGATGATAAGAAATGTCACTTATTTACTACAAGGGAAACATTTCAGTGAATTGGCTCCAACCTTGAAAAGTGCTTTGCAAGGTACATAATATTCCCATTTCAAAGATGAGGAAGTTGAGGCTCAGAGAATTATGTCACTTGGCCAAAGCCACACAAATATTACAGCGTCTGAGCCCGGAACGGAACTAGATCTGTTGGTCTCATGGCCTGTGCTCATCCCAGCTCCACCTCACAGCCTACATTACCATCTCTGAATCAAGGGCCCAGAACAAGGGTCTGCAACTTTAAAAATATTAGCCTTTAATATTTAATATTCCTGACCCCTGTCCTCCTGCAGTTCTAGGAAGGAGGTGGGAGGGGAAGGAGGAGGGTAGTGGGTGGGAGGTGACTGGCTATACTCTCCCAAGCTATAGAAAGTGGCCTGATGACAGCAGTTGCTTCAGATGCCAAAATATTAGCAAAATGGTGACTCCTAGGTCAGAAATTACGTCTGTAACCAGAAACAAAAAAGAAAATTTCTTTCTAGGACTATACATCCTGAAACAAGTTCTTTTTTGCAAGACAAAGCCCTAATGTGGTCTGGCCTTAGTGTGCACACAGTGAAGATGACACCTAAGAAGGACTTAATGACCCTTCTGGCTTTTAAATATTACAACTCAATAGAATCATTAATGCCACTGGAATGAGCAGACCACGCTGTTCCTGCCCTCACCAGTTTGAGAAGAAAGCAAACACAGAGAGGCCAAGCACCTTGCCTGAAGTCGAACAGCTAGTTGGTAGTCAGATCTTTGGCTCCAAAACGTACACGCATAACCATTACACTAAGAAGGGCAGGAATGCAGCTGATTTCTCAGAGGGCTGGATGCTCTGATGTCACTGCGGCCATGATTAGATGGCTCTGCAGACCTGGATGAGAGCTTTTCAACTTGCCTTTTGAAGTTCCATCCAGTGCTTTCTGAGGTCCACGTGCTGATGGAACCCAGCGGTGCTCGTGGACCATAATTCTACTGTTGCAACGACGCTTGGGCAACAAGACAGGCCACAGCCAGAAAGCGCGGGGCTCCTGCTGGGAAGCTCTCGGCTCGGGCTCCCTGGAAAGCCTTCTCGAGCATCAGCCCCCACCGGAACACCTCGCGGGAAACCATCTGCCCTTTGCCTAATGGCTCTTCTGTCCGAGCCGTGTTCCTCTTGTTAGTTCCACGCCAGGGAACGCTCCCCTAATCCACTGCTGTCTGGGCCTTGTTAAATAATAATCACTTTTCCTCCCCAGGGCTGGTTTCATTTCAGAAGAAATGCCAGTTGATGCTTTAGAAATGTCAGGATTTCCACAAATCTCTTTAGATCACTGCTCTGATGCGCTGGCCGTCTTGGGGCCACTAAGCTGGCATCTATGTCAGAAGTGTCATCCTGGGGCCCCAAACTCTAATTGGCTTTACTCCTCTGCTGCCTCTGGCGGCAGCTGGCTTTCCACATGGGCAGGGCAGCGCAGCACTCTCCCCCGGGGAGGCAAACGCCAGGCTGCAGCCAGACGCTCACCTCCTCTCACAAGGAGGGCGCCTTCTTGAGCAGCTTTCCTGGGGAAACAGTGGCAGGGGTTAACCGTTCATTCCTGTGCTGTTGTCTTTTCACAGGGATTGACTATCTCCACCCAGACCTGGCCTCCAACTATGTAAGTACGAGCTGCGCTGTGGGGGCACACACATGGGTCTTAAGTGTTCTTGTGCCCCTTAGTGGGAACACACACGCACACACGTGCTTGGATGCACATAGGCCATGCACACGGGCGTGCCTGCACACACACACACTCCAGACTGCCCGTCTTATCAGAGTCACAGCTCAGGCCAAAGACAGACAGACAGATGGACAAGGCGTGGGGCCTGGCGGCAGCCAATGGTAAACGGCTTCACAAGGAGAAAAGAAGGAAACTTGAGGCCTGAAAGAACAAAGAGCCGAGAAAAAAGATGCAGGGATCAGGGAGACAGAGCCTCAGCAAGTCTTAAAATCAACTCTAGCTAAGGATATTGAATGGAGGGGGGAAATGAGCCATTTGGGTTCTTGCTGGACAAAACCGATGGCCAGAAGCCAAAAAGGGCAGCAACTCACCCTGCATCTGTAGCTTTATTTCTGTGCTTATGAGCACTGCATATGCACGTGAGCTTTACTTTGTGCATATGAGCACTGGCGCCCCCCCACCACGACCCTGAGTGCAGTGCTTACTATCCCCTGACAAATGAGAAATATTAACAAGAAATCACAGTCAGTGCTGCTGGGCAAGAACCACGTGTTCTAACTTTCGACCCAGCAAGTCACTTGCTGACTTCCTGATAAAATCTGCAAACCCTGTAGACATAAGTGATTGCTTAATTTTAACCCCAGGGAGCATACTCTTCAAACATTGGTGCAGTCACTTAAAATTACCCAAATTCTTACTAAGCTGTATTTCTCCTGTAACTTCCAGATGTAAGTATTTTTAATGTTATTTTAATTTTGCTGAAAAGACTCCTGTTTAAGAGAATATGGACTTAAATAGAGGTTAACAAGCAGAAGTGTTTGGGGATCAAATTCTGGGCCATTCTTCCCAGAAAGGATGAATGTTCACACTGCAAAAAGAGAGTGGAGATTTTCCATGTGTTTGGTGGACTGGAACTCAGGAGACAAAGCAGCGATGTGCTCAGTTTCCATTTACGGGATGGGTCTGTAGATTAGCAGTTCCCTTCAAATCTGCAATATCAGAACATACCTGAAGACTCTATGAGATCTTTGAGTGTCGTGTTATTTTTTCCTTTTATTCCCCTTTGTTTCTTTCCAAAAAACATTTTTTCTAATTAAAAAATAAATACATGTTCTCTATAGAAAATGTGGAAAAGCATAAAACAGATTAAAAACTAGCCATATCACCATTCTTAGTATTTTGACATATATTGAACTTCATTTCTATGTGTGTATTTTTAATAAAATTGGGCTCTCGTTGCATACACAGTATTCCCTCTTCCACATAATACATCATAAACATTTTTATGACATTAAATAATCTTCAAATAATGATTATAAGGGCTATATAGCATTGCCTTACGCTGTAATTTATTTAAACTTTCCAATCCCCAATTGTTGGGCAACTTGGTTGCTTCCAATGAGTGTCTCACTCTCAGAGGGAGAGTGACACAGTGACCAGGGTGGTGGAAGGACTCCAACCACAACCTGCTAAGGAGAGCAGAAAGAACTGGGGGAAACATAACTTAAGAAGCACATTAAATCCGTTTTCAAATATTTCATGTTCTCTATGATGGATGAGGGATTCAACTTGTTCAATAAAAATTTCAACCAGGAAGATTCCCACCAATGGGTGACAACTGCAGGAGAAAGATTTTAGTTCAGTTAAAGGAAGAACTGTCTAATTATTGAGGAATAAGTAAAAAGAATTAGCTCTCTCAGGAAGTAATAAGCTCTCCTTCTCTGAAAATATTTGTGAGCAGTTGGTGGCCATTTGGTGGGGATGTTGAGGAGATGACTTAAACTAGGTGACATTAAAGAACTGAACAGAAAATGTGTGTTCTGTACAAAACTGCACTTTTTCATAAACTTCCATGCAGAGGAAGGTCCCAGCCTTCAGCATTTATCAAAACCCTTGGAATCTTATAAAGAGATCCTATCTAATTATATATGGTTGTGGAAATGTCCTGTGTTTTCTGTATAGGTGAGAAATCTGAACATCCAAATATCGCGACCTTAATTCCTCAGCAGAGGACCTAAACCAGCTAGTTTTCACCAGTCACAGTGTCTCCCTCACTCTGTGTAGAGTTGAGGGTGACAACTCTGAAGCTTCTAACCAAATGTGTCTTCTTTATTTTTAATTAAAATATTTTACACTATAATTAATAGAATGAGGGTGGCAAGTGGAGTAGACCTGCCCAGAAGAGCAATGAAATCAGTGGATGGTGGTAAACTCGAAAATTGTTTGAGGAAAGGATTGACAGGCAGCTCCCCACCTTGTTAGGTGACTTAATAGCTTGGATGTGATGAGCGAGCCCGGTGCCCTTCTACTGAAATGTCCTTTGGGGAGGTCCGTGTATGGGTTCCCCCAGGAGCAGACCCCGAGACGAGGGTTTGAGGGATAGCAATTTTCTGGGGAGGTGATGTTAGGAAATAAAGTTAGAAGAAGGGAGAAGGAGACAGGGAAGGGAAGGCAGCCAGTAAGTGGTACATTTCAAGAAAGTCGCCATGGTGAGTGGCTGGAACTTAATCCCACTGAGGCATCTGGGCGATGGTATAGAAGATGTGCATCAGAGTTACCCCAGGATGAGATACAGGGAAGCTGGGGTACTTGTACAGCTGGTGGAGGGCTGGTCCCAGGGGATGTTAACACCCCAGCACCTCTCACTTTCCCACAGTCTGGGGGAAAGCCCTCAGCAAAGAGAAGCCTCAGGTAGAGGCAGCTGGAGCTCACCAGGGACATGGGGATGACAAGCAGAGGCATAAGGACCAGGTCTTGGAAACACCTGCCACAGAGAGGATGACTTGGAAATTTTTTAAAAGTTAAAGTGAACAGAACTGTGCTCACTGAGCAGTGAAAACCCTATCGGGGGTTCTTAGACAAATGTGACAAAAATTTCTTTATAATCAAACCAGGCAAAATGTTTCCCAAAGCAGAATTACCTTCAAAGCTTGTTTATTCTGTATATTGAAAGAGAAGACTCAAAGCAGGCTGGTCATCCAGGTTCTTTCTTTTGAAACTGAGAATTTAAATCCTCTGAAAACAGCAAATCAATATATAAATCTAACTCATTAGTGTTCATTTAATGCAACAAATCTACACTGAATCTGTTGAGTGTTCAGAGCAAAGATAACAATGGCCACTTTGATTGTTCTCTGGCCATCGATTGTTCTATGATTGAATTTAATCTGAGGGATCCAATCTCACTGGAAGATGCTCACTATTCCAAATAAATAAATTCTCCTTTCTTCGTCCCAGTGGTAGTAACATGAAATGAGTCTTGGCCAAGACACTATTATACACCAAGTCAGATCAGAGTTCCTTAACCCCGTCCTCTCCAGGCAAAGGGTCTAGGCATTTGCTCCAGTTCAATCAGACGGCCGTGCACTGGGCCGGCTGTGGGCCAGCCCCAGAGGAGAGGGAGGAACCAGACACAGGCATTCTCCAGAGGAGCCTGAGGTCAGTCAGGACACAGGTGTGGGACGTGACTGACAGGTGCGGGGTGAGCAGGCAGGGAGGCTGTTGTCACTGTGCTACGTGCCCCCCACCCAGTGGGCCAGTGTTCACAGTACTGGTCCAAGCCCAGGGGTCCTTCCAGGCCGGCAGAATAGGAGGAGACTTCTCCAAAAACATGCAAGTGTGAGTCAGGTGGAAGCCCTCAGAGTGCAAGCTGTTGACTTGGGAGGAAATCACAGCAAGCGCCAGGCAGCTCTTCTGGCCTGGCCGCCACACACACAGGACAGGGTCAGCAGGGGGGCCCAGGCAGAAGAGCAGTGCTGACAGTTGGAAAGTGGCCAGCATGCTCACGGGGCCCTGACGGTGCAGAAACTGAGTGACACCTGAGTGTGGCTCCGTCTCCCTAGCTCATAGCTGCGCGACCTTTAACCTATGAAACCTCCTTGAACTTAATCTCCTTGTTCATGAAATGGGCAAAAAGAACATTGGGTGTGTGGGGAGGTATCACTGAGATGCCGTGTATATAGCGCCTGGCAGAGAACAGATGCTCCTTGTCAAAGGAGTTGAGATTAAAGCTGGGCAGGGAGGCAACCTGTCCCAGTGGAGAAGCAGGGACGTCCCTCCAGAAAGTGGTGCAATTTCTCCATGTACTCCCCATGAGCTTGGCATTATTAAAAGAGGAAAAAGGGCACCTCTAGTTTAAGTGTAAGAGGTTAGGAAAGCAGTGGGTGAAAGGTGGAGGTAATCAAAGTAAACTCAAAGATTTATGTGAAAAATAAGACTGATTTGAAAAAGAACCTCCAAGCAAACAGAAGAAACAGAGAGAGAGAGGACCCGTGGCTCACAGCCAGGGATGGAGGGACGAAGGGGGCCCAGAGAATGTCCGGTCTGCTCTCTTCTGCCATAGATCTCTGAACTCAGAGGATACTCGTGGGTAGAGAGATGACCTCTCCTGAGGCTTAAGGGGGTCCAGGCTTCTGCCCTGATGCAGGGAGTACTGGTCACTCCCCATACGCGGGCCTCCACCATTCAGCTTTGAAACTGTGGGCCACCCTCTGAGCAGCTCCAAGAGCCTGTGCTGGGAGTCTGTGCAGATTCACGTGCTCCTCCTGAAGTTTCTCCACAAGTTCTGGAATGCAGCAAGTGCGGAAGATTGCATGGACTCCAACTCCTCATTCTTCTTGAGACTCGAGCTTCTGCTACAGACGGGTCTTTGCAGAAGCCCTTCTACAGGGTGAAGTGTGTTTCCCACCCTTTGACTTTGGGTCTGGCCTTGTGACTTTTTTAAAGCAATAGAACAGAAGTGTCAGCATGCCAGCTTGAAAGCCTTAAGAGGCTTTGCGGGATCCCGCATGCCCTCCAACGCTCCTACCATCACTGTTAGAAGAGCATGCCTGGGCGAGGGCGCTGGACCCAGGAGGAGGATGAGAGACTTGGGGAGAAGTGCTACCCCAGCTGCCAAAGCCTGAAGCACAGCCGCTCAATCTGACCTACGGAATTTC